GCGAGAGATGCCAGTTGCTGTGCTTTCTTACACTCTAATTCCTGACTCAGCACTGGCCCCAGTATCCTAGTATCAGAGCACCCAGGTGGTAATTTGCTGACCTAGATGACAGCTGTAATCTTTCCACATATCTTACAGCTCATTCAGGAATAAGAACCAGGTGGTTTCTGCACTCATTCATGATTTCTGTCTCTTCCCTCCCTTGTTCTTGTGACTGCTTTGCTGCAGAACAGGCTGCCTCTTCTGATTCTTCCTCCTGCTTCCTCTTAGAAGCTTCTTCCTCCCTTACTAACCAAGTTGACTTCCTCTTCCATTGTTTAGGAGCAACTGTTATTGTCAAGGGTTGGGTCTCTTTCTCAGCCAGAGTGTCCATTTGTATGTCCTCAGATCCAGAGACCCTTTCACCTCACTGAGATAGGTGTAGGCCAGGCCTCAGCACAGCGTGAGAAGTTGTGTATCTTTGGCATAGACAAGGCATCCTTTCTTCAAGTGTTTTGTCACTTCAACAGGATGCCATGCTTGTTCAGGTGTGCAGTCCCACACCACTGGATGTGAAAATTGCTCTAGGTACCTGCCCAAATTCTCCTATGCAACTTGTGACCCATGACCCGACTACCTCAGGGCACATCCCTGTGTGGCATTCACAAATAGTCAGTTACCCTTAGGAAAAGCCAGAATCAGATTCTTGATATATACCAATATGAACATTCTAGTTACCCAAGGATGTTCAAGAAACTGACAAGCTGTTGTAACAAGGCAGAAAATAAATCTACCCCAGGAGAGAGGAAGGGGGAGGTGCCATTCTTCATTTCCTCTACAAATTGGCTCTTGGTTGAGAAGAGGAGAAGTTGTTAATTGTCTCCACGAGACGGTTCCCAAGGTACTAGGACAGAATCAATGCAGGGCCTAAATCATAGAATCATAGAATAGTTTGGGTGGGAAGGGACATCTAAAGGTCGTCTAGTCCAACCCCCTGCCATTGGCAGGGACATCTTCAACTAGATCAGGTTACTCAGAGCCCCGTCCAACCTGACCTTGAATGTTTCCAGGGATGGGGCATCCACCACCTCTCTGGGCAACCTGGTCCAGTGTTTCACCACCCTCAGTGTAAAAACTGTCTTCCTTATGTCTAGTCTAAATCCACCCCCCTTTACTTCAAAGCCATTCCCCCTTGTCCTGTTGCAACAGGCCCTGCCAAAAAGTTTGCCGCCATCTTTTTTAGAAGCCCCCTTTAAGTACTGATAGGCTGCAATAAGGTCT